ACTATGCGTCCACATTCTAACGATACATCAATTCATACGAAAATAGCTCATAACACGGACAGTATTAAGTTCGAATTAGATTGAATTAAATTAGAAGTGCAATGTCATACCAAAATAGAACTTAATAGTTAGTAGTTAAGTACATATTGGCATGTGTTTTGAGTGATTTACAACATTTTGTATGTATAACGCATGCTTCCTTCCCGTTCCCAGGGACGTATTTAGATATGAACTAAATAGATTTTAGCTACAAACAAACGATTCTTGATGAACTCTTTCACGTAATGTAAAAATATTTTACTTAAAAGAAGATGGAATATTTAAGTGTTAAGCTTTAAGGGTATTAGAGAGCTTTTCTAAGTGAAAGCTCAACTTCGAAGTGTTGAAATATGGTAGAAAAATAAAGATATGCTTTATTTTTGCAGTAGTTATATTGATAAACTAACGACTCACCCTCACTCCGCTCGGATTCGTACCTACTACCTAGTTACGTATTAACGTTTAGTATCAAATCAAACAATAATAAATACAAACATTTAAATCAACACCGTAAACAGGATTAGTATTTAATAATATAATAAAAATGACTGCACACTGCCTACATTTTCTCTAAGTAACAAAATAACATTTAGTATATATGGAATATAAAAAAAGTGATCTTATTACTAATTAGCGACATATTCTAGACAATAGACATCTTATTAGTTAGCGAATATAGAAGGTTAAAATGGTGTTGAAAGTGGAAAAAATGAAATATTATAACAAGAAAACTTCGCATGAATAAAAACACTTACAAACGGTGGGAATTATATCTAAATACTATATAGGTAATATAGGATCTACTCTTACGTGCTTAATTCTAGCAAACAATAGTCTACATAATTTTTGACTAATTCATGCAGAATACATAAGTGAAAGCAAACATTCGGTCTAATCTGGGACCGAACCTGCGACCATCTCCTAACTAGATAGTGTAATTTTAAAAATATTGTTAAATGGGTATAAAAATCAATGATATACAAATTCTCTTACTCTTAGTAATAATCACGAGCGCATTCACGCCACTCAGATTATAAGCCATTTATTACAACATTACAACATGTCAGTTTGTGTTCATATGAACGCTCGATTGCTTTATTAAGTCTCATTTTATTACAGTATTATAGCCTTTATCTTATAGTATATAGTGTCTAAATTTACAAATTAGTTTGTGTAATTGAAAAATTTAATGGGCATCAAAATATTGTTATTGCAAATTAATTGGATTTCGAAGCTTTTACGTTAAATAACAAGTTCAAAAGCTCAGAAGTTTGTTGGATACTATAATAAATATATAAGTACATTATATTAAACTTGATGATAAAGCTCTTTATCGATCATTATGAAATTAGTAATAATTTTAACCTGCGGCTTCTCTCAAGTGGATACCTACATTAATAAAAGTAGTTTTTAACTTAAAAAATATATTTCTTTAAAATACCTTTAAAATTACGTATTCCACCCATTTAATATTTTTTTTATTTTAAAATTTATATTAGTTAACTTGTTTATTAAACCAAAATACTTAATGAAAGCTGGTTCAAAACCAATAATCCAAACTCCCCGATTTTAGGAATCAGTCAAGAAAAACTAGACTAATTTCTAAGGGATAGTGCAAATTTATTTAAATAAGGCGTTGTAGAAAACATGTCCTTTGCTTTCACAGATTAACATCCTCTGGGCATTTGGCCTCCCTTTACTACAAATGGGATCTGGCGATAATCCACCACGCTGGCCAAGCGCGGGATGGTGGTCTTCACATGTCTTTCGAAAACTTGCTAGGTTCTCTCAGACATTACCTATATGTCCTTCCTTACGATTTTTTCCTTCACCTTAAGACAAGTGTTAATAATCTTGGAAATAATTTGCACATGAAAGAATCAGAGGCGTGTCTACACTGGACTACCACTGCCTCCAAAATGTTGTGTAGATATTATAATTTCATTCTTCCATATATTAGTGCTACACTAGCACGCTAGCTAAAAATAGAAAGTGCAAGTATTAATTATTAATTATATTATAGACTAGCATTGCCAGCGGCTCCGCCCGCGTCCACATGACCGTAAACCAAATTCTTAGGTTTTACATATTAATATACTCTTACATTGCAGTTTTTGTATTTTTTCTCAGAAATGGCACATCCTGCAGTAAAAAGTATCCTATATGTTGACCCGGATAACCAGCTATCACCATACCAAATTTCATCAAAATCCCTCCAGTGGTTTTTCTGTAATGCGGTAAGACAGACAGACAAAAATTCTAAAAACTATAGAATCGGACTTTGTATCGATAATAATGTCTATTTCAATAAGATTTTCCAAAAAATATTTAATGTGCAGATTCGACTTAGTTACAATTTTATTATATGTAGGTATAGATTAAGAAGTCACATATTTCATTTGTTTGTTTTCCTTGACCAGCAACGAAACTACTTGACACAAAAGCAGGCAATCTGATTAACAAATTGTCAGAAACGTATTAAAATGTTTATCTAATATGAAGATACCATGTAACGTAATACGCAAGGCTCTTATCTTAGAGTGTACGTAATCCTTATAGCAGCCGCACTTGACAGGATAATCCTTGCTTACATTTATACCTAAGTTGTATAAATGTTTATAAATATAGCTAGATATAAAGTGACATACAAACATGTGATGTGATGATGTTCTCCTAGCCGATTCCGGCCACGGCGGCCAATCTCAATGAGATTAGCCAACTGCGCAGGAGATATTATAGTGCTCAAGTGTACGCGCAGACACAAGTGCACTCTCTATTCCTATCACTCTCATACTCCGGTGGGACGACCACTCGACACGACCGGTGATAGTTAAGGCGCAGGACCGACAGCTTTACGTGCTCTCCGAGGCACGGGGGTGAAACACCGCCAACTTCCCAACTCCGGGCTGTTACTGAGACTTACTATACAGAAAGAATCAATAACTAAACTTGGCCCGACCCGGGTCTCGAACCCAGGACCTCCGGGTGTGCAGCCGTACATGCTAGCCACTACACCATCGAGGCAGTGACATACAAACATACACACAAAACAAAAGCGTTAAATTTATCTATGCACGTGTTTTGTGTCTGTGTTCATGTGTTAGGTACGTCGTCAAAAAGTCTGGGATGACCCTATCGCGTTTTAGGATATACATTGTAGGTACATAGATTTCCGCAATTTATGTGACACAATGTGTAAACTCTGAGCCGGTGACCCTTCACCCTACTAACTACCGGCTACCGCGTTTGAAATATAAATTATAAATTTAATAAAAATATAATAGAATAAAGAATAATATAAAGCTTTTACTAGTAAGCTGAAATAATGAGCTAAAATGAAACTTTAATTATTTTTTTCATAAAAAAGTGTGTTAACGAGTTAAATTTAACATCTCGACAAAATTGAATTTACTCTAAACCATTCTTTCTAACATCCCCATACTCTTCTAATATTTTTAACATTCGTTCTTACCGCCACATCGTAAAAGCACAGGATATTTTTGAATCAAAGCTATCGATCGAGAAACAATAAAAAAATAAAAAATAGACTAAATAAAAAATATACTAAAAAAAAATAGAGCTAAACTACCAAATTGAGTTAAGTTATATTAATTGTACAGACTTACTAGTACTGACTTTGACAAATGTTAACACTAATATTTGACATAAGTGGAGATCAGACCCACAACCATCAATAAATATATGTCATAAAAAACATAAAAACAATAATAGGCGAGCTTTTAAGCTCGTTTCCGATAAAAGCGCTTCAAAAAGCTGGCAATCGAGTATGTTCTCGCCGCCATCGCATGGAAATGCTCAAGATTTAACCGGAGCTAAGCTAACGAGATAACTAAAACCGCGTAAGGTATTAAGTAATAAAAAAAATCATAAAAGCATAATAGGTGAGTTTTTAAGCTCATTTCCGTTAAAAGCGCTTCAAAAAGCTGGCAATCGAGTGTGTTCTCGCCGCCATCGCATGGAAATGCTCAAGATTTAACCGGAGCTAAGCTAACGAGATAACTAAAACCGCGTAAGGTATTAAGTAATAAAAAAAACATAAAAGCATAATAGGTGAGCTTTTAAGCTCATTTCCGTTAAAAGCGCTTCAAAAAGCTGGCAATCGAGTGTGTTCTCGCCGCCATCGCATGGAAGTGCTCAAGATTTAACCGGAGCTAAGCTAACGAGTTAACTAAAACCGCGTAAGGTTCAAGGCCGCCCAAGGAAAGTGCGCCACTAAGCCGTCGCAGCCGCGCGGGCGATCGTCCGCAGCGCACGTTACAAGAAGCGTCGCCTGACAACGAGCGCGTGACGTCACGTGCTGTAGACCTTCTAACTAGTAGTGATCTAAGGACAGTAGTGGCATCACACTAAAGAATACACTTCCACTTGTAAGTGTTACTCGATTCGTATATATAGCTGGGGAGCTAGAATATTTCGATAGCGCGATTCAGGATTGTTATTTCTTTGTTGATTTTGAACGTGTTTTCTGGATTTTGGATTTTTGTTTTGATTGGTTTTGTTATTTAATGGATTTATATTTGTTATATTGTTAAATAATTATGGGATTTTGATTAATAAATGATGTTTATTTAGTTTTTAAAAAGTGACATCTAGTGGTGTAATGTTGAAACTCTAGTTCAGGTTTGTGTCTTAGCGTCGCTACTTGTTTTTGTTTGAGTATTGATTGCGTATTTAATTGTTTTAAAGAGCGCTAAGAAAAATTAAATATTAAATACTAAATAGTTTTTTTTACGCTACTACGATATTTAGAATGAATAAGTTTTAAATATTTTTTAAAATTTTCTTAATACTTTTTTACCAGAACTTGCCTTACTTATTCTATAGTACTTTTAATAAAAAAATGTTAATATTGACGTAGCTTTTTAATATAAAAAAAACTGAATAATTATTTTTGTATTAAAAAATTATGAAAAATACGACAGCTAAATGAGACTATTTGAATGATGAAGTTGGTTTTATTACAAAAAAAACCGAATGAAAAAAGTATTGAATTTAATTTTAATATAAAAAATTAAAAAATGCTAATATCGACATAAAAAAATTTTTTACAAAATTTTTCAACAACATTATTTTTGTTACAGAATATCAAATGAAAGAAACGAAAGTCCGGGTACAGATGGCAGTGTTTCACCTGAGCCACCCGACCGACCCCCCGGGAAACGACAAGTGCATCCCGACCAACCAACTCAACCATATGACTCCTACCACAAAAGGAGCAAGCCGAAATCTCTCCCTCTAGATGATAACCAGATGTACAACCACTTAGCTAATTCTAACGTGGCCATGTCGCCTATATATCCTCTAACTCCCAATATTTGCGTGGAGGGAGGAAAAATTGAGTTCATAAAATCGCCCACAGGGAGTGCTAGGAATAGTATGGCGCTTGTATCGCCTCCCGGCACACCGTTACTAGTTCGTAGAGGCTCTGGCAAAAGGGAAGTTAGAGCGTGTAGCGATGAGCCTGAGAAGTTCGACGGTGATAAGGTAGGTGGCGCTGTTTTATTTTTTTTTTCATTATTTAAAAAAAAGTAAAATATTGAACTATGTTAAAAGAGTTTTTAGGTTTAAACAATATTTTTCGTGTAGTTTTCTAAACTATTACGATTTTTACTGTATTGTTATTTTGTCTTTTTAAATTTAAAATATTTATAGTATCCATTTTTTATTTTAAATATAACATAAAATATAAATATAGAAATGGTATCAATCAGTTTCCATTATTATATTATATGTAAAGTATCCAAATATTTTAATCGACTCTATTGCTCTACATATTTTTTCAAAATCAAACTTACGTCATTTCAAAAAAGTAGTACCTAAACCTTGCAATCATAAACTTTTATACGAATCGCTTATTTTACATGAAGAGGAATACAATAACTTTTTCATCAAAACTGAAGGGTCGCATCAATTTCAATAAAACACGTCCTGTCTGAGACGTTTCGGCCCTCGTCAGAACATTTCAAACTTTGTCAATTTCTATCGCAAACGGACCTTTTTCTGTATAATGTGACATTTGCAAAAAGATTTAGAATTACCAATAATGTTAGAAGGAAATGAACTTTGTGAAGTTAAAATTTAGAATTGAATTAGTAAGCAATTTTAGTATTATTTGATTTATTTGCATATTTTGAAGGTTTTATTTCATTAGTTTTTGCTTACAGCTTCGCTTGCGTGGTATGTAGAAAAAGCTGTCTCTCAAATATGGTACTACGTTGTACGTAAATAGTTTAAAGAAATGACATACAGTCTTTAGTCACTCATTCATATCGCATTAGTGTGATTCACCACAATATATTAAAACTTATGAAGATTTTGAATTTATAGCATTACATAATTTAATATATTTTTTTACATCAGGTTTCAAATCGAGCCAATCAATCCTGTACGTGTCTCTCCCCATTCCTCGCACGTCACTTCTAGCACTAGGTCACAATAAAACTAAATTTCCAAACGAACGCCTTAATATTGGATTTAGAATTAAAAATGTGAACAATCATTTTCCTTTTTAAAAAAAATCTTTTAAGTTAAACTTTATTTTTATATTTTGTACTAATGAAAGCGCTTTTACAAGCCCATATATAGAATGGAAATACGTGTTCATATTAATTACTGCTTAATCTGCATCTTCGTAGCAATTTTTTTTATTTTGGGACGTTTACACACATCACCATCTAGTTCCATGGTAAGCTACAAGGCCTGTGTTATGGATACCAGATAATTGATACACTACAAATATATATAACTTTAAATACTTACATATTATAAATATAAACACCCATGACTGGAGTACAAACATTCGTGCTCATCACATAAATGAATGCCCCCAGCGGGACTCGAACCCGCGACCGCTGGCACAGCAAGTAGGGTCACTACAAACTGAGCCACACGCGTCGTTAAAGATAAAATAAAAGATATTTAAACAAAAACTTTATTAGATTAACCATATAAGGATCATCTTTGATGGACATACATCGTGTCAAAACATACCACCTAAACGTACTTAGTAATAAAAATATAAGGATTACAACAATATAGGTTTTCTTTTCCTTCTTCAAATAAAAAGCCTTAAATCCAAAATGACATTTCTATCAGTAAATAAATCCCTCTAAAGTTATCTTAAGACACAGCCTTCAAAAACAATTTGAAAGCGACTAAGCACGCATTAAGGTGTATAAAAGCAATTATTTTACCCTCTTGAGGACATTGAACAGTATAAATATCTTACTTCATAAAATATAATAGTAGATATATAGTAAATAAGGGTGGCAATAATAAGCTTTGTATTTACATATTATATACAGTCAGCGCCACCTTTTGTCAAATTTTATCACCAACAGTAGACTATTTGCTGTTCAGGACTGTCTGTGTACTGAATACCATTGAAATCTGCCCAGCCATTTCAGCGTAAATGAATAATAAACAGTCACACATACGCACAAACACACGTTTTAATTTGAGTGTACTCGTATTTATGTATGTTTCTTTTCACACACTAAATTCGGCTCAACAAATAAGAATGGCTATTTTTGAAGGAAGACTCCGATCCCTCTCCTCGAGAATTCTTCAAATTACTATCCTTGTACTTCTATCAACAAATTTTTGACAAAAGTTTATTAAAAGAAAGAATAACATTAAAAACCACACAATGACTGCTGTCTTTAAATTAACAAAGAGTGGAGTAAATAAAATATAACTAAATTCTCAAGGCATAGAGACAGAGCAAGAACTCTAATAATTTTTTTGTTGAAATATGAAATCAACATAAACTTCTATAAAATAACGTGCCCACTAGTTCAACATTTGAAATGGTCTCATTTAAATGAATGCAAATCGGGGCTCTAAAGGCGTCTGGACCAAATGCAAAGGAGATAGGACACAAAGTGAATTAATGGCTTTAAAATTAATTTGACCAGGCAAAGGGATAATTTTCTAACAGAGATAATAATTTTTTTAATAATAAAAACAATTTTACAAAAATAAATAATAAAATATAGTTAAAAATATCGAAACCGTAAGCTTCTGCTAATTAAGGATAGATTGTGGTTTATCAAAATCTCTACATTTTTTTATTTCACACCAGCAGCTGACCCTCGATTCGCTCGAGTACGTCCCTAGCTACGTTTTAACTGTTAGTATGAAATAAATAGACTAAGTATATACTATATTACTGCTCCGCCCCCTTGGATAGTGTATATCCTGATTATATATAGCCTATAGCATTCCTCAATATGTAGGATACCTATCTAATGCAAAAAAATTTTTTCAAATCGGATTAGTGGTTCCTAAGATTAGCGCGTTCAAACAAACAAACAAACTCTAGTAAATATTATAGTATAGATGTAGAGTCGAAATTCGAAGCTCTATGTGGTTTATAAAGACGTATGTCAATAGGATTTTTAAGGTAATACCTATGAAAATCGCTTTCCAATATGACCATTTGGAGTCTGGAACATGTAACGAACATAATTTTGATATTAATATTGACGATAAAGGGGAGGTTCGGAGGGATATTACTAGAATACGTAGATTTAAAGTATAGGTCTCTAACCTCTGCTTGAGCTTAATGCTTGCAATAAATACATACTGAATTTTGATTTTTATGTATTTTTTTTAAGTTACAAAGCTTTAAAGCAGAATATTAGTATATTTTATTTATTAATTATAATTAACTTTAAAAATGACCAAAATATTCAAATTAAATATCTATTCTGCGAACAGAATAACTTCCATTATTTTGATTTCAAACTTGTACCGATACCTAATCTATTCAGCAATGCTTATACACAAACAGACAAAACACTATTTGACTTCTGTGATATTAATTAATTTACTGGTGTACATATTTTTATTTACACATTTTTTAAGACAATATTGTGAACATACGTTGAAATTACTACGGTAATACATAATTTTTATCCCATTCTATTCATTCTCGAATTCAACTCGAATAGAATATTTTTTCTTTTAAAATTCATTAAAATACTTTCTTACACTAATATGAAAAGTAGATGAGGGATAATTTCATTCATAAAATATTCGTGTTTTATGCTTGCTGCGAGTCTTGCTTCGCTCGGGTTCGCCTCTAGAAAAATAGGAAACGAAAAACCAATCTAATCTACAGATAAAAAGTAGCCTATGTGCTATTCCGTGTTATAACACCTCCAGGTAAATTTCTGAGAAATTAATTAAATTTCTAAAATCTATTGTTAACTGTAACGCCGGCGTGTCCGCGGTCGTAGAGGGATTAATCTATCCCTGTGCTAAATTTCATCCTGACCCGTTCAGCCGTTCTGGCGTGATTGAGTAACAAACATCCATCCAAACATCCTAACATCTAAACTTTCACATTTATAATATTAGTAAGATACTCCTTTGTCAACTTGTTCCAATCTTTTAAGTTAGCTCTTTATACAGTCGGGTTTTTTACTTTTATAGCTTTTTAATAAAAAAAAATTATATTTTAAACGCTAGTTTTAAAATATAAAAAAAATATAAAAAAATTAAAAAATATATATATGATCTCCTTATCCAAAGAAGCTTAACGCTTAAGAAATCTGAATCTTAATGTGTCATTTTCATTTTATCTAGTCCCTTATCACTAATCTATGTTATCTGTAAGATGACAGCAAACAGCTAATCTTTCATACGAAGTCTATGACGCTAGTGCATTTAATTTGTATCTCGTGATTTCAATTATCAAAGTGTTAAAATTAAATAATTATATTTTAATATCATATACATATATCATATTTATAAAAAAAATTTGCGAATATCTGTATGCTTATTAGTTACAAATAAACAAAAGGATATTTGCTTTTGTGAAGATAGAAAAATTGAATTCGTGTTAAGGATTTCATAGTGCAAGAGACCACTTCTTTAGACTCTATAATGGAAATAATTGGTTATTTTGTATCAAGTTTAGAAGATAACTGTTATATAATTTGGGCGTTTTTATTATTCATGTTTATTGTGCTAATGGGTTTGCATGATGATAGTGAGAAAAGTTCTTATATTTGTCAGTGACGCTGAAAAAAAACCTATGATTGTAACAATTTCTTACAAATTTTTTTGTTTAATTTTAAATATATTAAAGTGTGTATATTTTTGAATAATCCCCTTTATTTATTTTACTATCTCAACTGTAATTTATGAAAAAATATTTTCAAAGCATGTTAGTATGTCGGTAAAAGTATTAATATATGCTTAAGCGACAGTGCAAACTTCTGTAAAAATATTTTGTTAACAACAACACTTAAAACATAGATATGTAGTATTTAACATGCAGAAGTCATCAAGCAAAAATAATCTATAGCCCCGCAGAAAATTTTTCAATAATTAATAATTTGTCATTTTATTTATATGTGTAATAGGTATTCAAAAATTTAACTTTATTTAATATATTATATTTTTTATAATAAAAATAAAATCTGTCTTTTCGGGTATTTTCGCTGATTTATTTTGATTTTTGGTTTCTGACGTTT